ATATGCACACACACCCACATCCATTTCAAAGGCTCCGCTTTAAAACAAAGGGCAAAATGCCTTTTAAAACCCTTAAGCTTTATAATCTAGATTTCCAACATGTGAAAGGTATGCATCTTCTATGAAGAACACTGACCAGGAACAAGCTATAATCCACCTACCTCAGCCAGATGTGCAAGGAGAGCAATACTTTGTACTGTTTTACCCAGACCCATTTCATCTGCCAGGATTCCATTGATGCCCTGGAAAAGATCCATAAATGAACACTTTCATCTTACTACTTGTTAATCCATACAGGACTAGCAGAACAGTTGCCACTGAATTTAGGGGGAGCACCCCCACTGTAACAACTCTGAAACAGCTTAGAGTCTGTCTCTTACGTCTTCCACTAAGAGATAATTTATGCCAACTTTGCTTTCATTCAATTATCAGTCTGATTTTTTCCGTCAGCCTGTCTGCACTTTGTGATCACATTGCAAACTGGGTACAGACACAAGGAAAAGGTTGCCTGGAGTTTACCAGCTGACCCAAGCCTGAACAAGTATGCAGCTCCAAGGGGCAAAAGTCTCCTCAGCGTATAATCTAACTGATAAACAGATGTACAAGCATCCACACAAAGAATCTTCAACTTAGTGCCCCATTCAAAGTTGTTATTTCCTAAACAATCAAGAATACTGATATGTGGCTTACATACTATTTTCCTTTCTTCTACAGACATTACAGACTGTGTATATGTGGTCTATTTTTAAAACCAGTAAATTTTTTGACCAAATTTACTCTAATGACAAATAATCCTAGAAGTTTTAAAAATTTGCAAGATGTACTACAATACCTGCTCATATAGATTGGCCAGCCAATTCATGCCTTTCAGTTGGTAACCTTTCAGTTTTCCATTGAAAATGGTAGGCTGTGGAATATCTTCTCCTGCTCTGATAGACGGGTTTGCTAAACTGTAGCTCTCTCCAAAGCCAGTACCAGACTTGTTAGCAGCCCGTAAAGCAGCTGCTCGACTCTCCTTGGCATCTTCGTCAAATGATCTGGTCTAAACAGGAAGAGGAAAGTATGCATAAGATGATGAACATATTAACTTATCAAGAAACTGTATAGTAAAAGGCTTAACACTTCACATTTAAGACACAGGATGTCTGCCAGAAACTAGGAGAAAACAAGCCTGTTCCTAAAGCCCAAATCTTTATATTGTGGTTTTCTATCTGTTTAGCACAGAAAGTGGCGATGGAATTAAATCAAAATCTGGTACCCAGGATTAAACAAACCTACTTGACCTGGCTGCTATGAAAGATCCTGGTTCTGTGGCCTCTACCAGTTACTCTGCTTTCTCTTCTACTTCACGGATCCAAAAAATACATACCCGGGCCTGATGAATCTGGTAAGCATCCTCAGCATTCTTCAGAGCCTGGGCCTTGTAATAGTTACTATCTGAAAACAACATCTCCATGTTAGAACTCTGCAGCAGTAACCACCCAAATTAAGAGAGAGATAAAATCCAGTAATTATAGTAGCCCTTCTTACACAGAAGGATTTTGTGGTTGAAATCGTAAATTTGTACAATAATCTGCAGAGCACAAAAGAGCGCACGGGAAGGATTGTACATGAATCCCTTACCATAATCTTCTTGAGTGATATTAACCACTACTCCTCCACCAATATCAATCTGTCTTTGGGTAGAGCTGTCTTCCAGTTTGCGTAGGATTTCCTCCTGTATTCCATCATGTCCAATATCTCGTTTACGACTCATAAAATGGGCATATAACTCAGTTTGTGTGATCAGGAAGTTAAGTTTTCGCTGCTGTCTCTTAGCCTAAAATTAGAGCATTTACAAAAAAATAGAAGAAGGGGAAAAAAATTAGGACAAAAATTAATGTTTAAAATATAATTCAGTAATTTTTAATCACATAATAATATAAACAACTAATCTATCTAGATTATGTTATGCACATCACTGTAATATCAAAATGCTAGAATACTAGTTGCACATAAGAACACTGACCAACACCATAAACATCTATATCAAAATATGAAATTGTTGTAAATGAAAAGTTCTTTTAAATTCAGTAATCATTGCAAAGATCACCATAATCTACTAAAATAAAGTTGAAAAGTACTGTTTACTCTGAAAAATTAAAAGATTGACAAAAATAAACAGGATTTTAGTAGCCTATAGTAAAAGAACTGAACAGTTAAAACAATGCTCTCATGACAACCTAACTCCAACATTCTGTTATTTACTAGGAAAGAGAATCACGGTAGAATATGTGAGATACATGACTAGGTTCAACAGTTGAGATACAATCACTGTTCAGGGTCAGCAAGACATTGCAGAAACTCTGTTTGCTCTTAGGTTCTGGTTAAAAAATGCTATAGTTAAAAGTTGTCTATTAATCTAGGTCAGCTGAAACCTTCACAAAATGCTTATGAATTTGCAAGAATGAGAGGAACATCTCTGGAGGTGTTCAAGGCCAGGCTGGATGGGGCTGGGGCAGCCCGCTCTAGTGGTTGGCAACCCTGCCCACAGCAGGGCAGTTGGAACTAGATGACCTTTAAGGTCCTTTTCAACCCAGGCCATACTATGACATGATTCTATGAAATAAAAGCACAATTTAAGCATAAAACGGAACATAAGGTATTCTAAAGATTCAACTTTAGCTCACCACCGCATATGTAAGGAGAGAACCATAAATCCCCCAGAGAGCTTCGTCAAGGAAGCTTTTTCTTAAATTCAGCCCCTATTACTTTGTAATGGAGTCCATGAAGTTACCACTTGGCCAACAAAATACGAATCACAGAAAAATTCTGTGCCCGACATATAAATTACAATATCAGTTTACAGCAGGGGGAAAAAAAAAAAGAAAATGCAATGTGAATGAAAAGGTGTCTTGCTTCTGGACCCAGAATGATGTACAAACCGTCACAAAAGGCTGGCTTTTACCAACACTGAGTTATGCCTGTGACATCCACGCTGCTTCTCTAATCCCTTCCTCCATTTCACTTATTTGTAAAGAATTTACACAGTTTGAAGGCTTTTTTTTATCATCTCTCACTAACATTGGAAGAATTACATAAAGAATTTGACAATAGCAGAAGAAATACATGGAATACTGCTGAAACAGAACAAATAACTGAGTTTCACGGCCTGGATTTAGAAACTCAAATTATCCAGTCACTTCTGTGTCTCCTCAACAGATTAATTATCAGCAATCTGTGTTTTTGCTGTACCTCTCTCATTTCCTCATCCAGCTTGCGTTGCTCCAGAGCCTCTTTCTCAGCTCGTTTGCGATGCTCTTTTTCCACCTTTTCGTACTTTTTCCAATAGAGAAGCATCTCCTTGGTAAGACGACGCGCCCGTGGTAGAGTTTCCTTACAGTTTTTCTGAGCCTGGATAGCAGCTCGACGTACCTCCCTCATGCACTGATGGGCAAGCTAGAGAGAAATAACATTTTGGAAACAGTGGTACAAAGGGCAGATTTTAAAGAAAGCCAGCAATAAACAACATCTAATTTCATTATAACCAAGTCCGATCCTTTAGAAAAGAAAAAACTGTGATCCTCAGCAGTAATGCTTCTGAAATGGCATGAGAGAATGTGAACTTTCAAAAACCTGAGATGGTGAGGGAGACAAAACCTGAAGACAGCTTCAGCATGGCATGGTACTTAAAGGATTGGTATGATGGGCAGGTCTTTGAAAAGGACTCCAGAAATCAGAGTTGAAGGTCTGCCTGCAACTCTGACTCACCAGTTCTAGACACTTTTCTGTGGTTCTTTCCTCACTGTTTTAATAAGGCTGCTGCAGTAGCAGTATTGGTGGAATCCCATTCATGTTAATACACTAAAAAGTGGGGGAGTGTTCTACAATTTTCCTACAGTCTCATGAAGAAGCATAATACAAGGTAATTTTTTGTTCTAGTATAAATAAGTTAATGCCATTGTCATAATGGTCAAAATTGTTGGGTTTGATGTTTGTGACAGGTTTTTTACCCTCCACTAAAACTTGCACATCAACAATTCTAACACACAGATTTCAAATGATCAAACAAAACAAAAATGAAAAAAAGAGTGGAATTTCAAAACCTCTAAGTCTGCTGCATCACTCCCTTGCTAAAATGCAATTTGTGATACTTACAAATACAATAATCACAGGCTATTTGCCCAGGCATCACAAAGAAACCCAGTCTCTGCTAGCTGAGGAGGACCATAGGAGAGAACCTACCAACTGCACAGTTTCTTAAATATATACATGGAGGTCCTGTTTTCTGCATTTCTTACAGAGAAAGTGCTCCCTTTCACGATGATGTATACACAGAATGGAAAATTTCCTATATCATCTTGTCACTGATGATTCTCAGTCACATACTTGATTACCTTTTCATTAGCCATGTAAATGAATCAGACACTTGAGCACAACACTTGAAAAATGCTCAGAAAGCCATTATCAAGTGTTCCTGAAGTAAAGCCTTCTAGGTAGAAACAATGACATTTCTCAGGGAGGACTCTGATGAGGAGACACATTCCTTTTGCAATCACTTCAGCAGAAAATCGTTCTATTTTTAATCTCAGCTCCTACATATATTTATGTAAATTAACACATTTAATATTCCAAGAGCCCCTTTGATTTAAACAAGAATGCTTAAACCAGCAAATTCTAGCTAGGGGATGGACGGGCAGTTCAAAAGCCAACAAAGCGTACCAAAGTCATAAATTTATCAAATAAATTAAAAATGTACAAACTAAATCTTATGAAAGCCAAAAAGATCTCAGGAAAGAAACTAATGTTGCTCCTTTCACCTGTTGCTTACGAAACATGCCAAAATGATACATCTAAAAAATGAAAAGCCTTATACTAAATGACAAATTATTTTTATACAGTGCTATCTCCTATACTGCCCTGCTAGCATAGTCTGTATTGTAAAAAACAGAAGAAACATAAAGAGGTTACAGTTTGCTTATCACATCCATTAGAAGTAACAGTATAAAGTTAAACAACACTTACTTTTTTGCTGTTGGTTAAGAAAAGATTGCGGGCCGAAGCTTTTTGTTTGTATGCCTATAAAAGAATATAATCTTAAAATTAGTTAAATGGTAATGGTTTCACAGTATTTTAAAAGATCACTATCCAGTCACGAGCAGAAACATGCCAACTTCAGCCATGCACACTATTGTATAATCGGTACACGTACTGTAAGTATTTTTAATTTTGACTGAAACAGCTTTTCATCCTTAATTATTGAAGGCATACTTAAATGTATCCCAACTCCTGAAGCCAGCATGTAACACACCTCCTTTTCCAGGATTGTTTCTTTAATTACTACTATTGCAAAGCAGGGTTCTCCTATTCCACTGTTATCACTGAACTAAACAACAAAAATTTCCACCATTTCCCAAAGATGTTAAGAATTAATGTAGATCCTATGTTCTTCATGTAATCAAAATCAGCCTTTAGAAAAAATAAGGTCTATCACACTGCACACATCCTTTGCCTGGCTTATGAATTCATAAAGGATGATACAGCCATCATTGATATTCAGCTTCCTAGAATTTGAAATCTGTTAACTGTGAACTCCAAAAAGCAGGTTGGAAAGTCCACTCTGATCACATCTCAGAAAACTAGTGACAGTGAACCCAGCTTTCTATTTCAAACGTGCCTGAAGTTTGTCCTGTAAATGATACAAACACTCTTCCCTAGACTGTTTCTGAAATAAGTTTCAAAAAACATGCATGCTACAGTGACTGAAACACTCCTTTCCTTAACTTTATGTAAAACCTAGATATTGGTTTGCTCTACACTGCTATCCCATAGATTAGTAGGAGTACCAGCTAGAGTTTACTGTACTATTCACAGAGAAGGGTTGGATAGCCAAATGCAAGCAGTGGAAAAGCATTGCACGATCCATTAAGATACCACTGGTGATAAGAAATTCCAACTACACCTTGCTGATGGTACCAGTTTGGTCACTAATGACCACCAGAAAAATCAGGTCTTACTTCACTCTGTTTTTCCAAGCATCAACTAGCCACTAAGTTAATTTTGTATTTAACTTCCTTGCTATTGTCACTGATCCAGTACCATTAGCAAAGCTCACCTTTGGCAACTCCTTTTTAACAATGCTAAGCCACACTTTTCGCCGACGTGCATTAAGTTGCTCAATAGACAAATGCTTTTTCTTGGACCCAGGTGGTGGTGTATCATGAGAAAACTTGGCAAAAACTTTGGTCTGGTGATGGTGGCGTCGTGGTGACTCCTCTGAAGAGAGTTCTTCATCCCGTCTCCTCTTTTTCTTTACTTTTTTCAACTTGCCTGCATAGCAACAATGATCATAAAAACCAATATATTTTTCTATTTTTGGGACACATTTAGCCAGGTATCTTTGCTGAGTAAACTAGCCTAGTCAATTTACGTGTGGAACCAACAAAAAAGCCAAAGTTATCCATGTTTGCCAATTCTGGTACCATCCATTTATCATACGAAATATTTCCTCATTACTCTATAGTGGAAAGATTTTCCTGATTAATACTAGAGTGGTGAAATACAATTCTTCCACTCAGGAAAACATGCCTTAGGAGTTAAAATGTCTGACACCTGGTGCAATGTTTCTTGCTTTGTGGTAAAATTCTACTCAAAGACATGTAAAGGTAAGACATTTAAAGGTAACAACATTAGCATTTGGTACAGTAAGCCTCAAACCAGACTTCTCAGCAGTTGAAAAAGATTGGCATGTTATCACGTATTACAGATACCAGCTTTCAGAGGAAATTGATACTGGTATCAGACATGAAAAATATTCTCTGAGCATGCAAAATCACGGATGCTACAAGATTAGTGGAGGAAAATAAACAGTTAAAGGAAAGATAGGAAGGAAGCCCAAAATAGCACCCTAAAAACACAGCTCAAACTTCAGTGCTTGTGAGTACTCTAGAGCAGCAGAGAGAATTCACCTTAAGCTGACAGCTCATAGCTTTCTCTTCCTGCTTCCTTACAGATTTACAGCTGCTGCCAGCTCAATCCAGAAAGGAAACTCTACTTCCTGGCAAACATGCATCTGAGAAACGCCAGCTGAGAGGTTACAAAATTCTATTTTAACTCATGATGAACATCAATTCTGAGTTCCCTCTAATTTCCAGAAAACACTCTCACTCCCTATCATTTCTTGTTCACTAGAATTACAGATTCAGGAATAACTGCAGCAGGTACTGGACAAGTTCTTAGATTTTTCAAGGAACTTTTTGTGTTTTCAAAAAGCTGAGTAAATGGACTATGATACACAACAGTATTCATGGATTCCAAAGCAATGAACGAAGCTATAAAGGTACTTAACTGCATCATTTTCATTCTAGATTCAGAGGTCCAAAAAGAAAATCTAAAGTAATGACTCTCAATTCACACTCCTCTTTTTTTTTTTTTTACCTTTTTAACCCTTTCTAAAAGCCAGAAGATAAAGCACAGTATTTTCTGAAGATTTTTTTTCTTTGACAAAACTGGATATTTCCATGCAAAACCCCAAAGTTTTAAACATTTATGTTTATTGAAAGGAAATAATATAGGAAAGAAGTATAATCACAGCAGCAATTTACAAACACAAGGTTAGTGACTTCACCTTTTAATTTTTTCTCTTCTTTAAACTTCTTTTTCTTGGGCCCTAGCAGGTGGCGCTGCTGCTCGTAGTAAGGATCGTAGGTAGACAGCAGTCCTACACTGTAGTACTGATACTGCTGCAACTGAAGCAGATGTAAATGAGCACAGTAACGAAAAACAGATCCAGCAGCTAACAGAAATAGCAGGTAAACAAGTTCAGATCTTGATCATAAATAAGACACGAGAAAACATGCGCTTCTCCATATTTAGCATTGTTATCAAGGATCATACAAGTGTTTGAAGTGAAACCACTGCTCCCAGAGGTGATCTCCAAGTTCTGCACAGGGAGCCAAGCCCACCCAGTTAGGTAAGATGGGAAGAGTGGGCACTGAAGCTTACACTTTCAAACCATACTGCTCTATCTTTTCCATAGGGGTGCTGCCCAGCAAGACAGCACATTACACATAAGTGGTCCAATCATGGACCTCTGATTTGTTTTACCTGTATTCCCAAATTACAGACGTGTTCTACTTCACCACTTCAAAGGATGTAAAAGGATGGGTTTAGATAAAAGCATTTAAAAGATTTCCACAAAGATAAACAACTTGAGCATTCAGATTGTCAAGTAAAAATACATCTGCCTCAGCAATTTTTCCCCCAAATTATCAAAAAAGTCAGTGTATTTCAAGCATTATTCAACTAAAATATTGAAGAACTATACACAGGCAATGTACAAACAGGCAAATTATTAAAAGACAGTACAGGTCAGAAATCAACTATTTAAAAACTAAGCATGCTATTAAGTTAATAAAAGATTTCTGAAAAGCGAGAACATCAGCATAAACAAACTTCTTGGGACGGATGTTTTCACCCCCTCGTAACTATACTGCTGATCTGACAATACCCTGGTTATTTCCACTGGATGTTATTTCTCACAAGTCTAGAAATAAATATTTGTGTAAAATCTAACAAAAGTTATGACCTGTGTAAAAATTTGACGTATGAAAATTTCTGAAGTTATGTAATATTTAAAGAAGCTAACATAATCTTGGTTCAGAACTTAACAAGTCAACAAAGGAAAGAAGTAGACAAAAGCAAAGACCTCAGTGGGAAAACAGTCCTTCACTTTTCTGCAGAAATTTAAAAAGAATATGAAACAAGACGACAAATGTTAATTTCAGACACATCCTCTGATAGCAGCAAAGGATTACTTCCTTCATCTGAGACTACTTTCTGGTGCAATTCAAAACAGCAATGAAAAGAATTTCTGCAAAAGCCCTTATAATTTGAAGAAATATATTCTTAGAATCAAAAGAGTCATAGAATTTGGCCTAATATTCAGGAAAATGCAGAAATGAGGCAGAATATTTTCATATAAGGGAAAAAAGATAATATGAGAAGAAAATTCAAAATAAAAAAAGAAAGATAGGAAAAGAAAAAAAGAAAGTCAAAATGCCAAAGAATGACAGAAAACAGTAAGTAAGAAAACTAGGAACTCCCTTTCAAGAAGGTAAACATCGTCTTATTACTCATCACCTTAATGATCATGTAAGTATACTGCTTTAGGTTTAAATAAACAATTTTAGTCTTGAACAGTTACAACCTGTATTAGAATTTAACACACAGCACCTCAGTTTTCACATATATCAGTCAAATCTTGCATTCTAGCACCCTATATTTGCTCTAGTACTGGGACAGAGCACTGGGGAAGCTATATATAACACATGTGCCAGTACATAAATTATTGACAGATTCTCAGCATAAGGCATCAACAGTTTTTCAGTCTGTAGTAATTAATTAAATAACCCTTGTCTGAAACTCATGTCAGATTGTTGTAGTCTCCCAAACACCAGGGGATTTTACAGTCCACAAAATATTTTGACAAAAATATAAGAGCAGTTAAAATAACACAGTTGAAGGAAAGAATAAAAAAATCAAGGAAATGTAAAAATTCTGGATTTTTACCTCTTTGTCTTTGCTATATTTACTCTGATGCAGTTTCTTATATTTGTGTAATCGCAGCATATGGTGAAGTTCCTCCCTCGAGAGAGAAAATTCTTCTTCCTCGTCTCCGTCCTCATCACTTAGTGAATCTGTGTCACTGGAGTCATCACTCAGAAGGATACTCTAAAAAGAATAAGTGGAAACTAATTTAACAATCACAAGTGCCTATACTGAATTGTTTATTAATGCAAAGCACTCTTGAGTCTTTACCTAATAAAGGGCTGTGGGTACACAATACTCAGTATTTACGAAGTGTCTTCCATCTGAAATGCCTTTTCTGAGGTACAGGACCGTGCAGCAGTGAATCCAATATACACTTTCTGATTTGGGGGGAGGCAGTTTTCTGTTAAGTTTGGTGACAGTTACACCATTTTAGAATCCACTTTGTCTGTTTGTGGTCTCAGAAAAGCAGCAGTTAGAAAATCCAGGATACCAGTAGGGGCATTTAGTGATATATGGTTGCAGGCACTTTCCTGCCCCATTTGGATTAGGCTCTTGGCAGCCTGTTTTTGCTAACTAGAGAAGGCTGCAGTACAATGAAAACGCAAAGATGGCATAAAGCCACCACTCCACTTTCTCCTCCATCCTTAATTGGACCTTGTACTGAGTTAATCTTAAAAACAAATTTTCAGTCAAGCCCCAAATGTCCATTCAATATATTTCACAATAGCTCATTTTAATGTGGACAGTGCACTAAAATTACTTAAAAGTTTCTGAATGTACACTCACTGTGAAATTTAACTATAAAATGTTGCTGCTCACCAAATTGAAATGCCTACCGTCCATTTTGCTACCCGACAGAAATGAAAGCCTCAAATCTACAGAGGCTATCATTCCATTTTGTTCTACCCAAAGTCTAATACAATATTCATTATCAACCACCACATACACTTCTTTCTTTCCATTTCCAAGATGAGAAGCCTCTGTAGAATGTATTTTTTGCTTTGGCAAGTGTTTTTTCCTAATGTGAAAAAAAAGAAACAAAACTAAGCTACATTCCTTTCTTCTTAGCAAGGGACACTAGCTCTAGTTACCTCTAAAACAGTGCAGCGAACAACAAGCCAGTACAGAACAAGACTAAGGAATTAATTTGGAGCCCTCTTTTCAGCCACACAAAATATTACCACATCTCTGTATCACCTTATGCCTCTTTTTCAGTGTGAGAATTTGCATCAACTAAATTGCATCACATAATTTAGGGCAGCACTTAAAACACATTAGTCCAGCTTTCTGAGCTCTCAGTAGTACATGCAAAGTAAAATTAAACGGACTACTGAGATGAGAACAAACTTACTGTTATGTTACTGTATTTTGAAATTTTGTCTGTGATAATTTGTGATAAGGCTCTGAGCGATGAACTCGTTTTCTTGTTGCTGTCTGCTTGCTTATGTGTTTCTAGACCATGATCTATGTCAGATGACAAAAAGGAACCACTCACCACTGTCTAAGAGGTTGTGGACTGGAACTCTACTCACAGATTTCGTTATAACTGCATTTCTTTCCAATATTCTTACCTTCAGCCACTTCCTGCTTTTCTTCAGTTTGGAAAAGTTATACAAGCTCCCTTTTTCAGACTTTGCCTCTGTATAGAGAAAAAATAAAAATAAAGTTCTTAAGAAATAATGCTTTTCCCAGTTTATCCCAAAGAAAGCAGAGATTCATCCTAGCGCATGCCTACCTGGCTGCAGTACTCCATTCAGGGAATGTGTGTTCAGCATCCCGGAATTCCCTGCTCCAGAAGACTCCCCAAGCAAAGAGTTTGGAGGCTCTTCCTTAACTTGCATCAGGGGATCCCCAGACTGAGGCAGCAAAGGATTGTCATCCAATCCATCTTCACTCTCATCACTGCATGAAGATATGTAAAATCATGACAATTAAAGGAAAATATTCAAAAGAGGAGATGGCCATTTGTCTAAAGGTTTGAGAATTGAGACAGCTTCAGATGTAATTTTACACATCAGAAATATTGCTGTTAATAACCTCCTGTTAACCCCTCTGCAACAGTTAATCATCAGACCAGCCTGGCTATGCTATCTATCTACTTGCACCTTCAGCCTTTAACAAGGCTGCCTGATTTGAAAAGAATGAACTAAGCCAGAAATTAACTACTATCAAGTGAAACCAAAGCACACTATCATCATCCTCAGCACTACTGTACATGTGAGAAATACAAAGCTATACTTTTTCTGCTCTTGGTGTGGACCTTATTACCTGCTTGTAAATACACCTGTTACCCATACAGTGAGCAGTTCTGTAACTCTACAATTCCAAAACACTGATGAAATTAAACATAAAATGTTTTGGAACAGAAACCTATGTTGCTGACTCACTTCTAGTTGCTACAACTTACTTACATTTAAATTCTGCATCTAACAACAGTCTTCGAATTTCACTTAGGGCTACAGGCCATCTCCCTGAAAAAATCAACTTAGCGCTTGTTCATCCTACTTTTTGCAGACAAAGAAAAGTTTTGGCCACTTGGCTACAAAAAAAGAGCTTTAAAACGTTGTGCTAATTTTACCTGGACTGGCAAGACACTGAATTATCAGTGTGAACTAACAGAAGCACAGTACAAAATCTTTACAGGAGAAGAGTTTTAATGAGCAAGGCACTACTAAACCCTTAATAAGGATGTTGCCCAGGAACAATATAATAAAAATGTTTGTCTTTCCTTGGTATTCCCAATGGAAAACAGAAAAGGTTTTGGTACCTGGATATACTCCTGTTAAAGATGGCAGATGTCTGTCGTAAAAACTGATCCAGTCGCAGAGCTTTCTCCAGATATTGCAGATAAAGGGGTTTTGCCAGCTCTGAGCAGCTGCCATCCTCCCTGGCACCCAGCTCTGAGGCCATAGAACAAGCTTCTCCTCATGCACAGGTGCCTCTGAACACACAGCTGTTAAGAAGAAAAAACAGTCATCATCACCACCACCACCACTGAAAGCAACCAGCTTGGTGAGCAGCCAAATCTACTCCATGCTACACCACATGCTAATATTTTGCAGAACACATAACCGAGGAAGTTCTGTGCAGTTAACATGTAAACTAAACAAATAAACAGAAATTCACACTAAACTTTCCACCATAATCCTACCATAGTGAAAAACGAGATTCTTATTTTTCTGTTTTATGACTTCGCGGATGCCGTTTGACAGGAATAAGCACTGCACTAGTGCGATAATCCAAGCGGTGACACAGAAATGCAAAGCACAATGAAGGCAGTCCTTGAACACCTGAAGTAAATTTTCATAACTACTAAAGATAATACGTTTAACTCTGAACAGAGGGCACCCATGTATCATGAAAGCTGAATGAAAGTAACTGAATTATTCTTAAATTGAATCATATAAACTTACTCCAAAAAGGAAGCACTAGCAAAAATATTATTGTTCTTCAGTTGTTTTTACCATTCAGTTCACAGCTGTAATCTACAAAATACTTTAAATACTTTCCTTTACTTTAAAGCAACACTGCTTTTACAGCACTCAGAACATAGTTGTTACCTGCTATTCTAAGCTACAAATACTTAACAAAAAAACCTTCCATTCTAAAATTTAACTGCTATCTTTATTAAAGAAAAAGTAACACATCACTAGCAATTTATTACATACTTTTTATATTTACAAATTTAGAACATACTCTAGCTTTATGTTTTTTCAACTAGTAAAAACAGACAGCCCGATTTTCATTTTTGATTTGTTTTCAGGATTTCAGATTCTTAAAAAACCAAACACATCCCCCCTGCAATATGCATAATGCATACTTTAAAACCAAACCTATCAAAACATTCTATTGCTCTGTCAACTGCAGTTTTTTCTTCCTCCAGTTACAAAAGATGTCATAAAAACTGTTACAGCAATAGCTCTGTCAACTGCAATTTTATATTTCTTTGATTACAAAGGATGCCATCATTGTTACATAATAATAGTAACAAAGATAAATTTAAATTATTTCCAAAGTCACAATTGTTATTGTGTAAATGGAAGGGCTGTCAATACCCTAAACATTATAATATTTACCAATAAATAAATGCATTAAGCTTTTGATTCTGGTGAAGGACAAAAATAAAACCAGTCAGCTTTTGAAACACTTAGATCAATTGCTCTTCTGAAGGATTCTTGGTTTCTATCACTTCTTAAAAATACTAGAAAACCTGAAGCAAACTTCACATTATCTTACTGCAAATTTTAAATCTGTACAATTATTAAATAATTAACTACTAAGGTGTTTTAAGCTTATATAAGTGAAAACACAGCTTGAGTATCTAGTCTTCAAATTGTTCTCTCTTCACATATGGAGTCAAAAAAAACCAGCATCTAACTTTTTTGAAGTCTTTTACCCTCAAAAATTACAGAACAGATTGAGAATTTCTAAGTTACAAAAAACTATGATAACCGCTTACCACTTTGAGACTAATGGCTGTGGTTGAGCGAGAACAAATATATATTATTTCTTAATAAACACCTAGCCTTGATTTAACATCTTAAATAATGAATAACACAGAATAAACAACAGTGTGTCAGAAATTGTCAGATGGCATAAAAGTCCTCATTTAAAAATTATTTTTAGACTGAAGGTACCTAGGTCCAGCTTTCTATATGCTAGATCTTCGTATACCTGACAGCAATGGAATGATTGAGCGCTGCTACCAAACACCCACTTCTAGCAGAGATTAACAGACATAACAAAGCACCTGAAAGCCTTCCCTGTGATAAGGGCATGAAGATTCATATTTTCCCAGAAACTTTCATCTATATACATCATATTGCTTAACAGTCATCCGAAAAAAAATCCCTAAAACCAAAAACTGTCTTCCAAGAGACAAGGCCATGAAGAAAGTAAAGAGGTTAGAAAACAAGAGGAAACACGTAACTTGTGTCTCTGATGGACGAAATAATTCAGGAGGAGACAGAAAAGGACACCAAGAAGGTGAAAGTGGTTTTCTTTCAGATCACCAATAAAAATTATATATACTATAGAGCAAGATTCAACCGCTAGTATCATACCAGAAAAATTAGCAATGCCTTTTATCACTCCATTTCGAAAGGCATCCACCAACAAGAGCATGTGTTATGTTAACATGGTGCTATTTTACTTTCCCAGTCAAAATGTCACGTGCAACCACTGTTTAATGATTTTACTCAAAACCCCAAGGCATCTTCCATGTGTCTGATCTTTGCAGAAAACCTCCTTCCCAAAGCTCAACATTCAGTGGTACTGCCTGTCCTGGAGGCACTCAGCACTCTGGGGAAAGAAACATGCCCCAAGGGGCACAACGCACACAGGACTTTAAACGAATTCTTTTGCACCCCAATGAGCCTTGCCCTCACAAAACTGTGAGAGCTTAACAGCAAAATCAAGGGAAAGAATTAAGACAGATTTGAAGTCAAGTTTTTAATTGCAGGAGAGCAAACAGGCCAGAGGCAAAACAAACGCCATTATATTCCTGATGTAAAATGAGTAGCTGAGCTTTCCTGGCTGCCCAGATGCACCTGCCTAAGCTCTGGTCTAAGTGGATCCATCAGACTGGATCAGCACCTCTCCTCCGCACCGGCAATGGTGCTCATCCGGCTCCATGCTCAGACAGCTTAGGAGATAACCCAGCAGAAGTCTGCTTCTTTACTTGCAAGATATTAGTGACCCTATGAAAAGAAGATGTTATCTGATGTGTTTAGCAATTAGAAAACTAAGACACTTTCTCAGGAGTGGCTCATTCCCATTGCACACAGTTCCCAGGCAAATGCAAAAGCAAGTGTTATTACCCTCTGCCTGCAATGACTGCAGTAACTGCAGAGAGTAGGTTTCACTCCATATTTTAATACATTAAATCCCCCCCTTCTTGTATACACTATGCTAAATACCTGTCTCATCTTTACTTTTTTCAGATACCTATGTTCTGAAATGTTACTTCCAAGATCAGGAAACCTTCCATTTCTGCATTTAATAAAGCCCTCCTTGTACTGACACCGTAAAATCACTCCGCATTTCACCTGTAGAAAGGAAAGCTTTTGCTTGTCTTCCTATTTTAATTGTCCTAAGAGGTTCCCGCACAAAGTTTATTACTCTTGTCCTCTAAACAGTTACTCCTCTGTATCCTGCCTACCAAATAAACAGAGGAGAGCTAAACAATATTCCTACATGTATTAACAATGCCCAAAACAAATGTAGTAAGTGTTACACAGGCACACTGAACAGAGAATAGCTCAGCCATTGAATTCAGCCTTTCATTTATTTATATGCTAACAGTCCCATGGTGCTTTTCTGCTGGTCAAAGTAGTAATATGGGAAGCTAATTGACAGATTCCTCTTTATTCTTTGTTATTTCGTTCCTACCCTAGGTTTTAAGAAACAAAGATTTCCAATGGCAAAACCTGCCTGAACACTGAAGCAAGAGAAGATGGGAACAAACAAGTGAGAGGCACACACCAGCCTGATCCACTGCAGCAGGTACGGTGTCCAGGACATCACAGAGACGCTCCTTCAGTGGATTTACATGGTGATGACATTCACTCCACTTTTCTTTGCCATTTTTTAAGCAGATCTATACTTGTGCCTACTCAGTTTAAGGAAGATTGCAGAAATTTTCAAAATGTTCTCGTTACTGATGGCAACATCTAGGTAAATACTCACGTTACAGGTGGTAAAATGACTGGATGCTGTAGAGTAATCCTTCTGCCATCACAGCATTCTTACTGATACACGCCAATTTTATGTTAAGTCTCAGTACCAAATTCAGTAGTTATTTGCTTTTTCTCTTCACCTTCCCTAGAGTTGTAATATTTTAGAAAACACGCATTTGGAAATAAACACCTGCTGCGTTGCCTGGCTGGCACTGTGAATCCTCTAACATCCTTACTCACATTGAAACCATTTAATTGTATCATGTGGCCCTTTGACTTACCAAAGGCACAAGTAAAACACCACCAGCAGGATACGAGTTTAGTTACACATATATCAACTTCATACAAATAACCTTCACAATAATTTATTTTCTTTTAAAGATCTAAGCTCAGTTCTGAAGAAGCCTTGCTTACCCTGCTTTAAATCACATTGCTTAGTTCAATGATAACGTAGGTTGGGGTTTCTTCACTCTGTTTTTCAAGCCTGCCCATTACAAGGTCTAGTCAGTGAGTAAATACCCAGCACCGAAGAAAAATCCTCCAAGGACACCCTCAAAGAGCAGAGTTACTTTGTGTAACAAGGTTTTTACGCTTGACACCCACCGACCTGCACCAGCCAAACAGCAAAAACACTGCTCTCATGAAGCAGCCTAGCTCTAAAAGTAGATTCTCCCAGTTTAAGTAGACACTGGCTATTTCTGAATTAAGTCATCTGTTCTTGCTATCAGTATCAATGCAAAGCAGGAGCCCCGCTGATGCCAAGCTCATTGGCACCTGTACCAAGCTGCAAGCTGGAAAGGGCTTGCTTTGCACAGCTCTTGGAAATAGTTATTTTTCCTCCAGGAGTCTCATTTTTCTTTTTTTTTTCCCCCTTCTGTTGCTGGCACCTCTACACCTCAGGTAAGGCCCAGAGGATCACTTTTTCTTTGCTCTGTGCCTAACACTCACATCAAACACTACAGCAAACAGTGGGAACAACTACACCCCGGCTGAGGGCACGCACACAAACACAAGCTGCCACGGAGGTACAAGGTACAACACCGCAGCACAGTGCCCCTCCTTAGCCCACGACAAACGCCAGGCAAATCAGAGAGGGAAAACTAACTCCGTCCCGCCTGCCAGGCACTGAGCGCATGTGCAGCACTGAGGCACTACCAGCTGGCAGGTGACCGCACGCACTTGTGCGAACACTTCAGCCCGCAAAAGCGGAGCTTCTCACCTCTCCTCCATCCAACCAGCGTAAGCACGCTGACAAAACACTCAACTTGACAAAACCCT